TGTGCATGGCACCGGGCCTCCAGTTTTTTATAAAAACCCTCAGCAAAGTGGGAATAGAGGGATCATACTTCAACATAATCAAGACCGTATATGGCCCTAGTTGGTTTGGCTCAGTGGATAGAGCGTTGGCCCGAGAACTGAAGAGTCTCAGGTTCAATACCAGTCAAGGGTATATTCCTGGGTTGTGGGCTCAATATCCAGTAGGGGGTGTGCAGGAGGCAGCCAATCAATGATTCTCTCTCATCACTGGTGTTTCTTTCTCTCCCTCCCTCTCTGAAATCAATATAAATATATTTTTTCTAAAAAAGACCATATATGAAAACCTACAGCCAACATCATACTCAATGGGCAAAAACTAAAAGCATTCCCACTAAGAAAAGAAAGAAGACAGGAATGTCACTTTCACTGTGCATATTCAACACTAGAGGCCTAGTGCACAAATTTGTGCATCAGTGGGGTCCCTCGGCCTGGCCTCCAGGATAGGACCAAGACCAGCTCTCCGACATCCCCTGAGGGTCCTGGATTGCGAGAGGGTGCAGGCCAAACTAAGGGACCCCACTGGTGCATGATCGGGACCAGGGAGGGACATGGGAGGTTGGCCAGCCAGGAAGGGACTGCAGAAGGGCTCCAGGGCATGTCTGGCCCATCTGCCTCAGTCCCAATAGGCCAGACCCCAGCAGCAAGCTAACCTACCAGTCAGATCATCTTCCCCCTGGTGGTCAGTTCACGTCATAGTAACTGGTCAACCAGTCTATTGTCTTCCCCTGGTGGTCAGTGCATGTCATAGCGAGCAGTTGAGTGGCCTTAGCATAACATTGTCATATTGAGCTTTGATTGGTTGAACGGACCAACCAGACACTTAGCATATTAGGCTTTTATTATATAGGATACTTGAATCTGGAAGTTTAGTTTTTAATGTAAAACATACCACTAATTTTCCAAGTCACCCTAATCACTATTTTTAATCCCCAGAATAAACAGTGCTAACGGGCCCTAGCCAGTTTGGCTTAACAAATAGAGCATCAGCCTGTGGACTGAAAAGTCCTGGGTTCAATTCCAGTCAAAGGCATGTACCTCAGTTGCAGACTCCTTCCTTCCCAGCCTGGACCCTGGTCAGGGCACGTGCAGGAGGCAAATGATTGATGTGTTTCTCTCAAATCGATATTTCTTTCTGTCTTTCCCTCTCTCTTCCACTCTCTCTAAGAATCACAG